AAAGACATTGTCTTTGTGTGCACCATTCCTGTTCGTCCTTGTGTTGCACTATCCAGATCTCGGAAACGGTCAGTTCCAAACGAGTTCCATTTGTCTTTTGTTTTCTTCAAGACAAACGTTCACTTTTGGTGAGATCACTCAAAGTCACGAAGTTTAAATTTATCCCGTCTTTCATGTGTTAGTCCTTTTAGACTGTATTTATCAGTTTCCTTGGTAATGCCGGTGTTCCTTATTGAGTGAATTCATTTTATTTGAAACCGCTACCGTAGGCTGCGTTTGCTATTGTCCTTCGTTATAACTATTTTCTTAAATGATTATTATTGATTTTTATCGTTCATTTATTTTGAATTGAACATCAAAATATATTAATCAAGCAGAATTATCGTGTCACTCGCCGCTGAAAAGCCCTATAAGCAATGCACTATTATTTCCTCCCTATTTAGAATTGTCCCTGTCAGCCCATCACGACGAGACTGCATCTTGACGTGGTGTGGTGGGTTGCGTGCCTCCATGACCCTGTAAGCTACACAAGATGGTTTTCTATAGATGTAGATCCAATCATACCTGAAAGGTTAGTGGGTGGAGGCCAGACAAAGCTCACTCTCACAAGGCCAGCTGATTGGGCATATCCTGGCTCTCTCTGGCTATCCACTCTTGCTCCTGGAGAGATCACTCCAGCGAATAAAAACGGGAAAGAGCAGTTTACCGATCACCCCCCCTCCCCCACCACTGGATGGGCGTAGAAGTTGGGTACCTGGGGCTTCCTTTCAACTGTGGGAGAAGCTTTCACACTTAATTGAACAACTACCGCCCGCACAATCTGGGCAGCCTCCAACCAATAAGGTGCTGTTCCACGTGTTTTATTCGGTACGCGAGACTAAAGGTCAATCCCGAACTGCCGACCGATAACCAGCGGACCAAGGAACGATACATTAAATCGAAACCCAAAGGCCTCGTGTGACAGGAATCCAGAAGCCTCACTGTCTTGTGGGTCAAACCTTTAAGTCAAAGGCTCCGGTTAGGGTTTCCCCCAAAAACTGCTTCGTCGATGTGGGCTACTGCGATGTGTTTTGTACTCTAAAGTCTTAGACACCCATTTGGAAAACCCTCTTTGTCTGTCCAGTTCTTCCACTCCAAAATCCTAATAGATGCATTCTGTTTTCGCCACCTATGGGATATCACTGAGCGTTTAACAAGGTCATCCAACCAAAAGCTATAGCGTTGGTAAAATCAAAACCTCCACTTCAGTCTGTTGCACTTAATGTTCGCACACTTTATCAGGTCGACCAACAATCTGTCTTAGCCTCCTGATACACTCAAATTAGACGTATGCGGTGTCTCCAAAACACGCGCACAAGACCCTTATTCAATGGTCTGTTTACGTTTTCCTGACACAATCTCATCCTCACGCCTCACTCTCAAGTGATTCGCTATCCGAATCTGGCGATGTTGTTGGTGTCTGGTTCGCTCTGAGTGCCATGGCTAAGCGATCTCTTCTCAACTGGAGTCTGGCTAGTGTCGACTGGGCTGTACGTCTCATCGGTTCACTACGGGCCAACATATACAGAACGAAGCATTGATGCTTATCCGTCATATCCGAACCGATCGCAGTGCATCTTGAATCAAGCCTAAATCATATAAGTATCTTTCCGAACTGCTCCAAAGTGTTTGGTCCACTTAAATCGTGATAGTCGCAAGAGTTTTCAATGCTCAAGTGGGATCCATGGACAAATATGAAAAGCTTCTTGGGGATCCAAACGCAATCCTGACCAGCCAAACCGATAACGGAGAACGTCTACTTCAACTCTGCTCGCATCGCGAATGATTTCAGCTGTGTGTGAAATCTCTACACTAGTGATGAAATTATCCTCAAATAGCCTGTGATGTTATTTTTTCCTCTTCCAAAAACATGGTTTACCACTGATATGTTGCAATGCATTGATTGGTACGACTGCAAACTACTGAAAACGAGTTTGTTCATCACTCTAGGTTCTGTTTGAAATGTGCTATGTGGGACTGTTTAGGCCTCCTCATGTAGTGCCAATCCATCATTATTGTTGAAAATGTCGAACCTCTGTACGCATTTTGATCGACTCTATGATGAAGAGATTCTCATCAAAACTCCGCTATGACTAAGCGGAATATCTGCGGCTCCTGGTTATGAATACTAGAATTATGCGTCAAGATAATTCACCAACGTTTGTGTACGACACTCCCCCATTTGTTTTCAAGGTGATGTGTTCATTTTCGGTTTCCTTTTCATCACCATTCCCCGTTCTTCTTGTCAAATACGGTTACTTGAGTTGGAGCAAAAACCAGTTTGTGGTGCTTAATGGAACAAGCAATTCACATGTTTGCTGTTGATTTTCCCCTCAGATTTCACCATACTCTAATTTTAATCCCACGAACTCTCAGAATTAGTGTATTTTCACCATTCTATCCCAGTTTAAAACCTCTATCTGTTTATTCCCGTTGTTGGTTATTCGTCGAACATAGCTGATCGATTGAAAGCGTTACGTGGTCAACGCAGTTTTGAGCCGATTTGTGTTACTATAACACTACTACTCGCAAGTAGTTGGGAGCTTAAATTGAAAGCTTTTACAAGCTGTCTGGCTCAGTGCGCACCGTGCGACATCGCACCACACGGGAACATATTCTGCCAATCACGACCAGAGCATGACTCAGAGGAAGCTTTATAAACTTCATTGTCATATCTAAAGAAGTCCCGTCGCACTACTGACAAATACAGAGTGCATTCTGCTGGTAAATATAGGAAATAACTCACAAAACGATCTTCTCATCCCAAAAGATTGCCATACGCATCCTTGGCTGATGCTACTTTGCTACTTTCCGCGTGAGTTCTGTCTTGACTGACCATACGATAAGAATATCGTGTTATTTCATTTTCTGTTCTTAACTGACTGCTACGTTTTACGTGATGAAGTTCCTCGTAAACAGAGCGATAGAAACCTTAACTAGAAGCTGGGAGCACTTCAACTGTTTAGACATCGGCGGGTCTCATGAAACACCATGGAAGCTGAGCACACTCATAGGATTCTTTAATGCCACATACATTAATATATTCTAATTCTTTAATCCATTTCCATCTTTTTTTGAAAGTGAAGGGTCTCAAGTCATCTTAATCACAAAAATACCTCAACAAAGATGTCGGTTATGCAAAATCTTGGGGACAGAAACAAGTATTCCTAATTGAAACCAATTTGTGTTCGGCATTTTCGTAATGGTAACCACCTAAAAGTTTATTAGGACAACGATACCGGAAAAACAGCTGCTGTCATCGATCGTACAATTACTCTGTGGGCTACGCTGCGTGGAGTAAAGTTTTATCTGCCTAATACGTCGAACATTTATGGGATTGACGCAAGTCCATCAGAAACAATAAGTGGGAAGGAGGGTTTACCCGATTCCCCTCCCAACTTTCTGTCCATAAATCACCTTAAATATATATTATGAATTGTGCTACCATTCAGCCTATCAAGAACACTTCACAGAAATCTCACACGTTTAGTACTGTGTTTCGATTTCACGCCTCACATGCGAGTATCCAAGGCAGCAGTTTGTCTTACACTGCAATGAACTTTTTGATCTGCGCTCCAACGTCAAAGTGCATGATTTCATTCCTTGTTTTATCCCTCTCCCTCTAGTCATGTGGATTCTATTGAACATCGCACAGTTGGCCGCTGAACGGGTTCTTTCATGGTTTATGCGGTCCACCCGAATGGGTTGGATAGTGGTAAGTTGTTAGGATGCATTAGAAATTCTATTTGCGCGATGTGGTGCAACACTTCCTGCTAGTAGATCATTCCCAGTTAGAACCGACTTTTCAATACATGACAGATTCGGTTAAGTCACTTATTCCTCCCCTCTCAGGATTACGGAATCGATAGGTAGACCGGAGTAAACAAGAGCTACAGGGAGGAGGGAGACTAGTTCGTCACGTTAGCAGCACCGCTTAGTTGGTTTATGTCATCACTAAGACCGAACACAATCCCGGGTTACTACAAACCACGGAGAGGATGACAACCACTAATGTGTCTAGCTGTCAATCGGTGAATGACTAAGTACTCACGGACACTAAGCGGCAATATCTGAGGAGATGGGCTTTCCGGGGCCAAATGGTTTCCATATGCGTACGTCAAATTAGCTCACCTCTAAATGATGTGGTCACCATTATCCTATTGACCTGAAAGTGGTCGCTGGATATGCCCCAACTTTGCGGCCATTCTCACGGACCAATTGGTCGTATCTGAGATTTCAACGTGCACCGTAATCCCAAATCTCAACGGGTTCAGCATCTATGGAATCGATTTGTCTTCCGAAATGAATTGGTCACATAAAATCAAAAACTGAGTTCGTTAGACGCTCCTCGGACATGGATATGCTGTTTAAAAAAACGCATATCTTGACTGCGATTGAGGTGTGTAGCTTATCGCGATTAATGATTCTCTCGGGTGATCATATGAACGATCGCTCCGTGAAGTGTAAAAGCTCGTCGTCGACCCCCACTCCATGCACGCCACAATCGCTAGTATTGCACTGCCGTGCGAAGTTTTTGGTTGCAGTTTCTCGTCTGTTCATTTGCCTAACCATTGTGGGAGATAATTTAAAAAAAATTGCCCAGCCGGGCGCGAAATCACAATAAGGATGCAAGAAGTAAGTGAACTATAGATCCGCGCCGATCGTCTGCGATATCATCCAGCGTTTCCAATCATGGTCTTGGTTTGGTCCTCAACGGTCTTCTCACTGGGACAAGTTTATTTACCGGTCATTCTTTCATTCATGTTCATAAGTGTGTGATGATATGTATGATATAAATGGAGTACAACGTACTGCTAATTTACACAATGTGTCACTTTTTCATGTTGTAACTGTTCTCGTATTTTTCAATCTCATTTTTGAAATCTTCTTCTTAGAAAAACTCTTGCCCGGTTCAAGTCTGGAAAATACTCCGTGCTACGTTCTGTGTCGTCAACTGGGTCTTATCTATCATCAGCTTCGTTTACTTCCAGTTCGGTTACAGTGCCGGAAACCGGTTTGTCCAACTTGTCGCATATGCTCCCGGTCAGTTCTTCCTGAGATTTGCCGCCTTTGTGTGTGATTCGCCGTTCGATGTCTGAATGCGGGTTGACGGTTGACCGATGTGGCACTGAATCTGAACATAAACCACTCGCTTTCTGATCTGACCCAATAGTCAACAAGGTGTTAGCCAATCTTACTCACTAGAATAGTATTTAATCTCATCAGTTGGAACAATGTTCCATATGCATTCTTTCTCATTCGGGCACTGCAGAGTTCACTCCTTTCGACGTTGGCTAATCTCCTGGCATCAGTTACGCTCTTATGACTGATTTACTTATCTTATCTTGTCCCTTGTGAAATAGACTCTTGTAATGCATTCATCCTATTTATGGTAAGAAAACCTCCATGTTCAAGTCAATTTTAGTTTTATGCACAAAGAGCTCCTGGCCTGAAAAAACGATCGTGTATTCTAGTAGAAAGGTAACGTTCTCCAGTTNTCCGGTCGCAGTCGATGTCCAGATCAGATTTGTCTGTGGACCATACGTCAAGTCACTATTCACATCACTTCACTTGTGAGGTGGGTTTTTTGCTTCATCAGTGAGTCGAAATTCCGTTTTGTCGATGTAATGCGTACTATTAAGGCGCGCGTTTTCGGTCAAGTGAACAGTTTCTGTGCTAGGTTTTTGCAACAATAAAGATAGTAATGATGTTTTTCACTCTCACAGACATTGGATCCCTATAGTTCATCTTTTTTCCACTGCATTTGTCTCTGAATTCTCTATTTTTATTCTTTTATTCCAGAACTCTGGTCCATCTATTTGATGCTGTTCTGTCATTATCACGTGATTACTTGGTTGCGAAACAAACATGGCGTTACCCTTTTACCATGGGGATTCAGTGACTGTCGACATGCAACCACTTGACTCTGTTGAGCAGTTTAAAATTTACGGGAGTACGATGAAAGTCAATGTCCGGACTGAATGTGATGCATCCCGAATACCACGGGTGAAATTGGAATGACGAGATTGGTTCTCTCTTTTCTGGGCGGAGATACACGGTCACCGCGATTGTGAACATCTTTCATTTGTGTGGAAATGCACATAGTCTTGTGAGAAAAATATAATTGTCTGTACTACGGGAATATCTGAACTCACATTTCAATCGAAATGGACTGAAGCAGGTCAGAATGGTCGGATAGTAAATACTGTGTGAGCAACTTGGATTTGTGAATTCATTTCTCATTCGATTTCTCCATGGACTGCTCTCCCCTTTCCTGACTGTTTTTAATCAAAAGCAAAAGATAAAACAATCGTCATTTTCGTTCTCTTTTGTGTTGTTCGGACATCCCGTGTCGCACGAATCGCGCAATCTGAAACAAATCACAACAACACCCGCTTCCCAGTGATCATTGTTGACCCTATTTCCATCTAAATGTGATGGATGAGTTAAGATGCGTATTTGCCTGTCGTGTCATCACGTAAAATGCATTGCCAACTAGCTTTTTGCTATTCACACCGTTTATCTGTGCTACTCTAAACATTTGTCCTGTAAGCGTTTGGTGACATGTTCATCCAGACAGATACAGCTCAGCGAATAGTCTGCGTTTCATGAAAACGCAAACATCCGTTTTTCTTAGCTGCTCATCTGGCACTCAATAAAGGTAGTGACGCGGTTGGCGGGAACGGGAAGTCCCCAATGTCTGCTTGCTTTTGAATTTCTGAGATCGCGGATAATTTTAAACTGAAATTTCGATAACCATCATCTGAAGGTTGCATTCTGAACGTGATTGATAATCGGTTTGTTGTGCTCAAAGCAAAAGCCCTTTCACATTCAAAATTTACTTCTCGAACTTGGTGAAACGGGCACCCAAAATGCTGTATAGTGCAATAAAGAACCGGGGAGAAAGATAAACAGATTATTGACCTAACACATGCAGCGCGTATCACGCAACGTGTTTTTGCAATTGAATATCGGTTTCACCCTACTCTAAGGACCTCCATGGTATCAAATACCCAGCGCGTTTTGACTGCTTCCGAGAAAATCCTAATCAGCCGTTGGACCGATCATCATCGTCCAGCGGATTACAGTGACGTGAACCAATCCCGCCAAACGCATAAAGCATAAGTTAGAATATGTAAGTGCACCTATTTTGCGAGATGCTGAAAGAAAGTGAAACTCTGTGGTCAGCACACAGAGTACACAACGTAATGCCTGCCAAGGCCTCAGTATGGTTGGGGGTGGGTGTCTAGGGTTGCGGCTGGTCACCCTGCCCTTACACCTCACGAAATACCCCCATACGACCAAGCGTCTCAAATAGCCTCTGCTGAGGAAGCCCTACTCACTGCCTTCTCGCGGCGGAGGTGTTTTCCCACCAAAGTGAGAGGACGAAAAGCCGATATCCGGGGCTATAGCCGGGTTGGTGGACCACTG